GTGATGAAAGTCAGGAGGTCTCAAGAAAATACTGACCCTCAGAACTAAAACACAGAAGTTGTAGAATCATAAAGAACAAGAATTAATCTATTTAATAGTGAGACCTATAGATGAGACAACATCCCCCTTAAATGCTGGTCTTGGCCGGCGCTGTGGCTCAATAGGCTAATCCTCTGCCTGTAGTGCCGGCACCCCAGGTTCTAGTCCCAGTCGGGGTGTCAGATTCTGTCCCAGTTGCCCCTCTTCCAGTCCAGCTCTCTGCTGTGGCCTGGGAATGCAGTGGGGGATGGCCCAAGTCGTTGGGCCCTGCACTCGCATGGGAGACCAGGAGAAGCACCTGGCTCCTGGCTTCGGATCAGCGCGGTGCACTGGTCGCAGCGTGCCAGCTGCAGCAGCCATTGAGGGGGTGAACCAATGGGAAAAAAAGGAAGACCTTTCTCTCTGTCTCTTTCTCTCTCACTGTCCACTCTGCCTGTCAAAATTTTAAAAAAAAATGCTGGTCTTCTGTATGGTCAAAGCACAAGGAACAAAAAACTATAGAAACAGAATATTAGTAAATATGGTTAGAAGAATATTTCAAATTATTTTTTATTAACATTAAATAAAGCAGTAAAAAAAAGTATATATTTTCAAGTCACACAAAAATTAACTTAAACAAAAATATTTCAAAGTCATCAGAATATACAAACTGGATCCCTTGCATCAAATATTTTGTGAAATGAGGTAGAGCATTTAAAAGTATACAATTCAATAAAATGGACAATATTAGCAAAATTTTCTATATTGTACTTTCACCTATTTCATCTTCAATCACTTAAAATAACAAACAATTCAACTATTTTAGGAGGAGCAGATTTTAGTGAAAGCTTTTTCCAATAAAATGGATGTAATATTGTCCTCTAATAACTACATATGCTCACACTACTCTCAAGTTACATGATTTTTCCAGAAATTCTAGTATTTGACAAATACACAGTTTTTCCTATCTTGCAACCCTTCATTCTAGCATGGTCAGGGTGGTGAAAAAAAGGAGCAATCAAATTAAAGATAAACATTGGTTTATATTTCTTCACTAAAAGAACTATGATTATGGTTAAAACAGCACAAAAAAAAGAAATGAATATTTTGGAGGTCCTTTGTATACACCACATTTGTTTTGCACCCAAACAAACTTATCTTTTAATTCCATTTCCACCAATCTTTCAGTGCCTGTATACTCTCAATTCAGTCATTACACATTTGCTATCACACAATCTCCCGCCTACCTACTAGCACAAGGACTAAAAATACATACAATCAGTAACATTCACTACAAAGACAATCATTGTATCACATTTGTGTAAAAATGAGTTTTTACAACACTGTATGTTGGATATTTTTTAGCTCTACCTGGAAAAAAAAAATCAGGTCTTAAGCCTCACTTAAGAAAAAAGAAGCCAAACTAAATAAATGCAGGTCTTAGAATGCATAGATTCTCAAAGTTTGTTTTCAGTAAGTCAGATGTTTAGAAGTACTAACATATTTTCCTGTAAAAACAAGCCTTAAGATTCCCAAGCTAGTTGGTTTAAATACAACCAAAATATGTACCTAACAAAGAATTCACTGACCTATGAATTTGGGAAGGTCTTGGGAGACTTCACTACCAACCAAAATCCCGGGAGTGAGAACACAAGGACTTTCTTTCACAAGGCATGGCTCTAGGCTACCAGGATATGGAGCTGAACTATTACTTGCCCTTCTATACCTATCCCACCCTAAAACCCCAAACTCTAAAAGGATGGAGATAGAAGTGACACGGGAGAGGCCGGCGCCCCGGCTCACTAGGCTAATCCTCCACCTTGCGGCACCAGCACACCGGGTTCTAGTCCCGGTCGGGGCACCGGATTCTGTCCCGGTTGCCCCTCTTCCAGGCCAGCTCTCTGCTGTGGCCAGGGAGTGCAGTGGAGGATGGCCCAAGTCCTTGGGCCCTGCACCCCATGGGAGACCAGGATAAGCACCTGGCTCCTGCCATCGGATCAGCGCGGGGCGCTGGCCGCAGCGCACCGGCCGCGGTGGCCATTGGAGGGTGAACCAACGGCAAAGGAAGACCTTTCTCTCTGTCTCTCTCTCTCACTGTCCACTCTGCCTGTCAAAAAATTAAAAAAAAAATAAAAAATAAAAAAAAAAGAAGTGACACGGGAGAGTACGGCAAGAAACTTAGGCCTGTCAGAAGGCACATTTGAAAAACTGCCAAAGCACTGGAAGGTGACTAAGGAATGCAGAGGTGTGTCCTTTGTTATTTCTCTCTCATATTTACTGAAAAACCCAAAGCAGAGTAAGAGCCATGGACTGGATGGAGACAGTAGGGCTGAACAACACGGGGGCTTCCCTGTAGTTGCAACTTAGTCAAGTTTTCCCTACTATTCCTTCCTACTGCCATGCAAGTTTTACTGAAGGAGCTGTGAGAAACAGGCAAGGGTGCATTGCATTAGGGTGGGCTTAAAAATGGCAGCACTTCAGATACGGAGGGAGGTAGCCTCCCAATGAGAAAGGTAGTGGCTCAGAAAATAAGGAAGAAAGGTCAAGCAATCTTTTCACTAACCCGAGTTATTTAAGGATAGGTATCATGTCCTGTCCAGCTTTGAACCCATTGCTGCCTGAAAATCTAGCACACAGCAGGCTGTCAATCAATATGTTGAATGAATGAATACATACATCTGTAGTGGATTCTGTGATCCATCATCAGACCCAGTTTCCTAACTGAAGGGCTATTTTCCTAGCTGTTGGGGACACTGCTAGCACACGGTCCTCAGATGTTAGCCCTTTGGCAATTGCCTTAGCTGAAGAGAGCCCGAGTTCATCCCGCTTCCTGGGGCAGCATCCATCTACAACTAGGGACATAAAAGTCCAGCTTTCCTCGCCCCAGCGTGAGATGACTGAGAGACCATCCTAGTTTCAGAGCACAGCCTTAGAGCTGTTGAAACTCTATCGCAGTCCGACTTGTCCCATGGAAGTTGGGCTACCTTCCTTCAGCTGGCCTTGGTCCCAAGAGGCTTCTCTCATACATATGCTATACTCAGACTTCCATCTCAGAGTTACAGAGAGGCAGAGACAGAAAGAGAGAGAGAGACTGATCTTCCATCCACTGGTTCATACCCTGGATGGCCGCAACAGCCAGGGTTGAGCCAGGCCGAAGCCAGGAGTCAGGAGTTTCATTCCAGTCTCCCACTTGGATGCAGGGACCCAAGCACTTGGCCTATTTTCCACTGCTTTCTTAGGCACATTAGAAGGGAGCTGGATTGGAAGTGGTGCAGCCGGGTCTTGAACCAGCACCCATATGAGTTGCCAGCACTGTAGGTGGTGGCTTAACATGTTATCCGACAGTGCTGACCCTAAGAGTCCAGGTTTAAATCACCTACAGGAATGTATCCGACTTCATATGAAAGATCAGCAAATATTACAAAGTTTCACAAAAGCTAAGAAGTGAACTCTCTTATCTCTAACAATCTGCTTCTATTTCAGCTACTTAATCACAAGACCTAGAATACTTTCAGGGCGGCCTCAAAAAAGTACACCTGCTTTACTGTCACAGACACAATTAACAATGAACTGTACCAAATTCAATTCTTGTCAAACTTACAAGAAATTAAATATCAATGAGTGTACAGCAAACATGATATAAAGCACCACAGAAAAAAGAACTGTTTTTCCTATGGATGTTGATCAACATCTGACTTGACAAGCAATTGTTTTTCTAGTAAATGCTACTCAGTACTTTTATTTATGATTAACATAGTTAGGAATGCAATGCTTATGAAAGTTGTTTTTGAAATATCAAGAGTTACAAATTACCAGAACTACTTAATGCACAACTAAATAAAAAATATAAATGAGTAAGTAACAAAACCATGTGCTTTATCTGGGTACAGATCCATTTATGTACTCAAGTTATTTTGGGCTCAAATAATACCTTAATCTTACAAGAAGAGTTGAGGCTTAATGATTATATTGAGGCTCAAAATTATTTCAGATATATAAGTATTCAATTTTTAAGACATTTTTTAAAAAGTAGAAGACCACTTACCAATTTGCTACCAAAGGAAACCACGCTTTCTGAGACCACCTAATAATTTATGCTCACTGCTAAAAATCTGGGGGGTTTGCCAAAGTATACAGGTACCAATATTCAGCTTTACTATAGAAGTGAAATGAGTGGACTAGGCACAGAAAAAGTTCACATCACGCTTCCCAGAAAATGACCCAAAAGGCATGTAGCAGATGGGTGTGTCCTGTACTTCCTGCCAGGATAAGCGATTCTTAATTCTGTGTGTACATGTTTCAGAAGACATTCCTGGACTTGCATCACCACCCTGCGGAAAGTTAAGAAGCAGGCTGGGTGATGTGATGCTGAACACCACCACACTCCTTGCTGTGTCTCCTCACCAGCATGCTGTCCTCATTCCTCTCAAGAACACAAACGTTAACTGAGTAACTTTGCTAAAAAGGCATGTTTTGGCACTCACTGAGGATATTTAGTCAAAGAAAATTGAAAATGACAGGGTGCTAAGAGGACCTGTGCCATGACAAATGCACCTAAAGCATTTTCACCCCGATTAGGATCACTGAGTTGCCATAATTAGATTCCACCCAAATGTTTCATTAATTTAATTCTTAGCTTTCCTACCGCAACATAAAGACAACCATTCAGAACCTATCTTTATATAACACTGCTTTTACAGCATATATTTCCTTGTTGTTCATTTCTTGTTAGAAGGAAATGCATTACAAATCAGAACTATTAACTTTATGTGTAACAGCATAATCTTCAATCACTTGCCAAAATAAAATTAAATTAGTTTATGAGTCACTTTATTTTTATATTTTTTCAAAGATGGCTAGTCTGCAATTAATTATTTAGAAGGCCAGTTTCCTGATCCTTCTTCAGCTACAGAGAAAGAGCCAGCTGGTAACGTTTATGCGACATGGAAGGTCTGAGAGGTACAAGGCCTTTGTCAGCTTACCATGAATGCTTCCTAAGGCAATATCGCCAGCAGCAGAAGACAGAAACGACGACTCTGTGTAGAGATACTTGGCTTTCAGTAACCCATCTTCAGTAGAAATATTCACAGAACTTCCCTGCAGTTTATCTACGGTCACAGTCTAGGAAGAGAAAGACTCTACTCAGTTCATAATAAAACAAAAACTGCTTAAAAGCCGAAGAGTAGGACAACCTACCACACTGACAACCTATGGCTTCCCCAGATGACAAAATTATGTAGAATGTGGAATAGTACCACCACACCTATTTACTTAGGTCTTCTTTAAGATCTCTTAATCATGTTCTGTAATTTCTATATAAAATTCTTCATCATCTTGCCTTAGATTTATCCCTACTAGGTATTTTAAGTGCTATCAACAAAGGATTTAAAATTATTTCTTTTTTTTTTTTTTTTTTTTTTTTACAGGCAGAGTGGACAGTGAGAGAGTGAGAGAGTGAGAGAGAGAGAGAGAGAGAGAGAGAGAAAGGTCTTCCTTTGCCATTGGTTCACCCTCCAATGGCCGCCACGGCTGGTGCGCTGCGGCCCCAGGACACCGCGCTGATCCGAAGCCAGGAGCCAGGTGCTTATCCTGGTCTCCGGTGGGGTGCAGGGCCCAAGGACTTGGGCCATCCTCCACTGCACTCCCTGGCCACAGCAGAGAGCTGGCCTGGAAGAGGGGCAACTGGGACAGAATCCGGCGCCCTGACCGGGACTAGAACCCGGTGTGCTGGCACCACTAGGCAGAGGATTAGCCTATTGAGCCACGGCGCCAGCTTCATTTGATCTTAATTGACCTTTTTGTCTGAACTTAAATGCACAAACTCACTAAACTCACTAATTCTGATAATTTACCTATATTTTTACATTTTCTTTCTTTTTTTCTTCTTCTTTTCTCTGGAAAGGCATTGAGATACAGAGAGGGAGAGCGAGAAAGTGGAGTGTACATGTATTTCCATTTGTGGGTTCACTGCCCCATGGCCTGCAATGGCCAGGACTGGGCTGGACTGACGCCAGGAGGGAAAAACTCAATCCAGGGACCTATTCACTTGAGCCATCACCCCTGCCTCCCAGGGTTTGCACTGAGAGGAAGCTGGAGTTGGAAGCCAGAGCCAGGTATAGAATCCAGATACTCTAATACAGGTCATGGGCATCTTAAATGGAATCTTAACTGCGGGTCTAAATGCCTGCACCATTTATATGTTTTTTTAAAAAAATTTCTAAGCATGTACTTACATTGTCTTCAAGAGTAGCTCATTCCCTCCCTTCCAATCTTTGTTTCAGTGCTGTTTTTCCTGAGTGTTGTTTTTTTCCTTTCTTTCTTTTTCCTACCTTACCATAGGGCTCAGGCCTCCAATTCAATGATGGATTGGAGCTAATACAAACTGTGGGATAGCAAGCACTCCTGTCTTATTCCTGTTGTCAGAGGGAATGCTTACATTTCATCATTATATATCATTATATACTTATAATGATGAAATGTAAGCATTCTCTCTGACTATATATATATATATATATGTATGTATTTGAGAGGCAGAGAAATGAGGCAGGGGGCAGACAAAGAAAAAGACAGACAGAGCTCCCATTTGCTGACTCCCCAGATGTCCCAAGTTGCTACGGCTGAAGCCAGGAGTCAGGAACTCAATCTAGGTCTCCCATGTGGGTGGCAGGGGTCCAAGCAATCCAACCATCACCTGCTACTCTCTAGGCTTGCATTAGCAGGGAGCTAGAATTGTGAATGCAGCCAGGATTGAACCCAGGCACTCCAATATGGAATGTAGGAGTCCCAGCATGTTCACTACAGATATTGTTCAGAAATCTTTTACAGATAAAGGAAGTTCCCTTCTACTGCATATTTCTTTTATTGGTGCTGCTATTTAAATAACTAATGGTTCTGAATTTGAGCACATAATTTATTAGATTATATTGAGCTACCATGATTTTCCTCCTTCAGCATGTTAACACAGTTATTATTTCTAGAACTTTTCCACTTTACGTCTAAACAAGTAGTAACAGGCAGGTGTTTGGCCTAGTGGTTAAGACACTGGATTTGATGCCCAGCTCTGGCTCCTGACTCCAGCTTCCTGCTAGTACAGACCCTGGGAAGCAGTGATATACTTGGATCCCTGCCACTGGTGTGGGAGACCTGGACTGAGTTTCAGACTTCCGGCTTCCATCATTGGCCTAGCCAACCCTTGGCACTTGTGGGCACTTAGAGGATATGAGTGCTCTCTCTGTGTCTCAAATAAACAAATAAGGTAGTAGCTTTCCACTGAACAAAAAGAAGGGAATTTTTTTATTTATCACTAAACTTAATAGTGTAAAACGTTATCTAGTTAAGGGTCTAAATCATCTTTAGAGTATTTTAAGTCACTATTTTATAAACATAAAGTGAATATTGATATCAAATGGTTGATATAAAACTGAATCAGCAGGAAGCCTTACCACAGTTTTACTCAGGACAAAGTTAAGTAGTAAATTGGGATGTTTAAAGAAACAGCATTTTTTTTCCTGTATGTATGTATCTATGATAAAGTTTCATTTATATACTAGGCACAGTAAGAGCTTAACAATAACAAAAAATAGAATGGTTATGGACACATACTGTAATAAAAGGTATATGAATGTAAATAAATAAAAAAACATTGAGTTGTTGTGGCACAGTGGATTAAGCCAGCATCCCATATTAGAGTAGTGGTTTGATCCAGCTTTCTGCCAATAAGCTTGGAAAAGCAGCAGAAGATGGGCCCCTGCCAACCATGTGAGACCCAATGGAGTTCCAAACTGCTGGCTTCAGCCTGGCCCAGCCCCGGCCATTGAGGCCATTTGGGGAGTGAACCAGCCGATGGAGGATCTCTCTCTAACTCTGCCACCTGCTGTGTTGGCATCCCATATGAGCACTGGTTCAAGTCCCAGCTGTTCCACTTCCAATCCAACTCTCTGCTAATGGCCTGGGAAAGCAGAAAATGGCCCAAGTCGTTGGGCCCCTGCACCCATGTGGAAGACCCAGAAGAAGCTCCTGGTTCCTGGCTTTGAATTGGCCCAGCTTCAGCTGTTGCAGCCATTTAGGGAGTAAACCAGTGGATGGAAGAGTTTCTCTCTCTCTCTCTCTCTCTCTTTCTCTTTTTCTACCTCTATGTAGCTCTGCCTTTCAAATAAATAATTCCTTTAAAAAAATGAATTAAACAGCAAAGCTGTTTTTCAGCACACCGACATTAGTGTCATCCACTCCTATCTTGTTCTTCCAAAACTCTTACAAGTTCCAAAGGTTCCCTAATAAGAATGGAGTTTCAAGAGTCTGAAAATATTAGAAGACAAATAAAAATAAGTATCCAGAAGTTCTTAGAGGAAGTAAATGAGTTACCTTCCCTTTGCATTTCAAATATGCAACTTTCTTTGCTAATGGATTTTTATTAGGTACACAATATCCATTCACTCACTTCTTTGTTTTTTTAAGATTTATTTATTTGAAAGGCAGAATTATAAAGAGGAAGAGTTAGAGGCAGAGGCAGAGAGGCAGAGAGAGGGAGAGAGAGAGAGAGAGAGACAGTCTTCCATCTGCTGGTTCACTCCCCAAATGGCCAAAAAGGACAGAGCTGTGCTGACCCAAAGCCAGGAGCCACGAGCTTCTTCCAGGTCTCCCATGCAGATGCAGGGGCCCAAGGACTTGGGCCATCTTCCACTGTTTTTCCAGGCCATAGCAGAGAGCTGGATTGGAAGTGGAGCAGCCAGGAACTTAAGCACTGCCTATATGCAATGCTGGCACTGCAGGTGGCAGCTTTACTCACTATGCCACAGCACCAGCCCCCATTCACTCACTTCTACTACAGTTTCTTTTAAGCTAATTATGGATTCATAGGATTTTTTACATTAAATTTAGTTTCAAGAAATTTGTCAAATATGGATATTTTATCTGTATTTTGATTAGTGAGAATATGGGGCTGGCGCTGTGGCACAGCAGATTAAAGCCCTGGCCTGAAGCGCTGGCATCCCATATGGGCACTGGTTCTAGTTCTGGCTGTTCCACTTCTGATCCAGATCTCTGCTATGGCCTGGGAAAGCAATAGAAGGTGACTCAATTGCTTGGGCCCCTGCACCCACATGGGAGACCTGGAAGAAGCTCCTGGCTCCTGGCTTCGGATTAGCTCAGCTCCAATTGGGGAGTGAACCAGCAGATGGAGGACCTCTTTCTCTCTCTCTCTCTCTCTGCCTCTCCTCTCTCTGTGTAACTCTTTCAAATAAATAAATAAATCTTAAAAAAAAAAAAGAATACTAAAACTTAAAAGTCGCATAAATAAAAATGTTATGGCTTAGAGTGCACATTGGATCATCTTGTTGAGTAAGCAAAGCAAATACTGCCGTCCCTGCTTTCTGAGTAACGAAGCAGTCTCGGCTGGGCACCTGGAGCAGCAGTTAGCACTCGGCAGGCCTGAATCCTAGGTGGGAGTGGCGGGCTCTACTCCAGCTTCCTGCTATGGGCACTCTGGGAGGCAGCAGGTGATGACTCAAGTACTTGGATCCTGGGAGGCCTGGGTTAGGTTTCCAGCTCCTGGCTTTGGCCTGGCCCAGCCCCAGCTACTGTGGGCATTTGGGAAATGAATCAGTAGATGGGAAATCTCTTACCAGCCGTCTTTCTGCCTTTCAAATGCATTTTTTTTTTAACTGAAACTGCGTCTTGGGTAATTGGTTGGCAGATCTAGGAGTGGCCATGCTCCCCTCCTGTGATCACTTTACCTTTGTCAGCAGCAGCCGCAGCAGAGGCAGTCACGTGCCAGCCATTCTGTAAGTATTTTATTAGCTCATCTAACCCTCATGGAACTCTCTAAGTCCATTACTATTACCCTAATTTTCAGAAAACTGAGGCCCACAGAAGTTAAGTGACTTGTCTGAAGTTATATAGCCCAGGAAATGGTAAAGCCAGGATTCAAACAGCAGTAGTACGGCGTGATTCTGTGTTCTTCAGCTCACCAGGCTGCCTCTCAAATACCCAAAGCATGTGTTTATGAAAGCTGTATATGAACAGGCAACATCTTTTATGGGTTTAAAAAATCACTAACTTAGAGATGTGCTTTAAAAATTAACTATATATATATATGTATATTTGTGAAAATATATATCACAAATAGAAAAAAACATATAGACCGATTCTTTAATATATCACAAAACCCAATCAGGCAAGAAACAAAATAGTATAATAGGAAGTAGGAATAACTAACTATGCAGTAAACCATGAAAGTTAAAATAAATACATATATACATAATAACGAGTGCAAAACAGTGGCTAAAACATTCAGTGTATCAAATAATTAAGAGGTGTTTTAAAATCTTTGATACTTATATTTGAACACACATCCGTGATATCCTGGTTACTTAGATCATTTCAGATAATGTTAGCATGAAAGGACAGAGTTTGAAAGAGGTGCAGAGTTGCCCAGTTTCTCTCCTGCAGCTCTGGGACCACAGCAATCTGAGAGGTAAAACTCAATGCTATCTTAAATGGGCTGCCCTAAGAGGCTACACAGTGTCTTTAAACACTTCTCTGGTTTAATTTAAAGGACAAATTTAAATATTGGTTTAAAGAGCCTACAACAAGTTCTTTTTTTTTTTTTTTAAAGATTTGTTTACTTATTTGAAAGTCAGAGTTACAGAGAGAGAGGAAGCAACACAAAAATAAAGAAAGCTTCCATTTGCTGATTCACTCCCCAGATAGCTGCAATGGCCCGGGCTGGGCCAGGCTTAAGCCAGGAGCCACGAGCTTCACCTGAGTCTCCCATGGGTAGCTGGGGCCCAAACACAGAGGCCATCTACTGCTGATTTTCCCAGGCCATTAGCAGAGATCTGGATCAGAAGTGGTATAGCTGAGACATGAACCAGCATCCACATGGGCTGCATCACAAGCAGCAAATTACCCAGTATGCCACAGTGCTAGCCCTGAGCTTCCCACAGGTTTTAAGACAAAGGTGAAAGGCCGGCGCCGCGGCTCACTAGGCTAATCCTCCGCCTAGCGGCGCCGGCACACCGGGTTCTAGTCCCGGTCGGGGTGCCGGATTCTGTCCCGGTTGCCCCTCTTCCAGGCCAGCTCTCTGCTGTGGCCAGGGAGTGCAGTGGAGGATGGCCCAGGTGCTTGGGCCCTGCACCCCATGGGAGACCAGGAAAAGCACCTGGCTCCTGGCTCCTGCCATCGGATCAGTGCGGTGCGCCGGCCACAGCGCGCCAGCCGCGGCGGCCATTGGAGGGTGAACCAACGGCAAAGGAAGACCTTTCTCTCTGTCTCTCTCTCTCTCTCTCACTGTCCACTCTGCCTGTCAAAAAAAAAAAAAAAAAAAAAAAAAAGGTGATGAAAAACAAAATGGTGACAGTAGAAACAATTAGTGTTATAACATACCTTGCTTAATTATGCCAGCAGAAACCTATCTACAAGGCACGGGATACAGTGTGGGGCACAGCAGGTTAAGCTGGCACCTGTGATGCTGGCATCTCATGAGTGCCAGTTTCAGTTCTGGCTGCTCTACCTCTCATCCAGCTCCCTGCTACTGCACCTAGGAAGGCAGCGGAAGATGGCTGAAATGTTCGGGCCCCGCTACCCACGTGGAAGACCAGGATGGAGTTCCTGGCTCCTGGCACTGTTATGCCCACGTTGGGTGTGAAGCAGCAGAAGGATGATCTCTCTCTTTCTCTAGCTCTCTCTCTGTGTAACTCTACCTTTCAAATAAATAAATAAATCTTAAAAAAAATAAATAAAAGATATGACAATGGTATCTCCTTAATTATCTGAGGATAAAGCTGACTACAGAATTTTACAAACTTAAAAGACATCTGCAAATTGTGTAAGCATAAAATAAGATTTTGCTCAAAGACTTAAAACACTATTGTTCACATTTTTATTTTTTTTAATATTTATTTATTAATTTGAGAGGTAGAGCTACAGAGAGAGGGAGAAACAGAGAATAAGGTCTTCCATCCACTTCCATCTTACTTTGGGAAGTAAGGTCTTTCACTCTCCAAATAGCCACAAGGCTGGAGCTGAGCTGATGCAAAGCCAGGATCCAGGAGCTTCCTCTAGGTCTCTCACATGGGTGCAGGGGCCCATGCACTTTGGCTATCTTTCACTGCTTTCTCAGGTCATCAGCAAAGAGCTGGATCAGAAGAGAAGCAGCCAGGACACGAGCCAGTGCCCATATGGAATACTGGCACCGCAGGTGGAGGCCTAACATATCACACCACAGCGCCGGGCCCTATTGATCACATTTTAAAAACTGATATTTGGACTGGGTATTTGGCCCAGTGGTTAAAACAGCCACATCCCACATTGGAGAGTGTAGGTTTGATATTTGGCTCCAACTCCAGATTCCAGCTCCCCACCAGTGTAGACCCAAGGAGGCAGGAGGAGGTGGTGACTCAAGCAGTTCATTTTCTCCTGATTAAGTTCCCAGCTCCCAGCTTCACCTAAGCCCAGCCTCAGCCATTGCAGGCCCTAAGGAAGTAACCTAGCAGATGGGAGCTCTCTCCCTGTCTGTTTCTGTCTCTCAAATAAACAAGTTGTTTTAAAATTATTTTTTAATAAAAAATTATTTTTAAAAAAACCTGACAGTTTATATACCAAGAAGTATACCTTTACCCTGAATACTATGCTAAATTACAGAGTGCAAAAAAGAAGTTGATTCAAAAATATAAACTATCTTCCTGTAACAATGCAAAATCGAGAAAGCTTTTGGAGAACAGTGAAGCTATCTAATGGTGCCATCTTGTGGAGAATACTAAAGAAAGCTGAGTTTTTAAACTTCTCCATATATTTGGCCAAGCTAAACTAAACGGGCTTGGCAAATATTTAAGTAAACCTAACACTTAAATGCCTAACCCCGATACTGGTGGTTTTATTTAATGAGCTATTTTAATCTATAATCATAAAAATAAAAACCTCCTCAGAATTAACTATTATTTAAGTTTTAATAGATTTTAGATATGGAACTAAATAACTGTCAAAGGTATTCAACCACAAACTAAAATTTAAATTATATAATATCTAATCATCTCAATTCCAAATCTGAGCTTGCTAATGAATAAAAATATATTAAAAAGGCAAATTCGTTCAACAAATTCTCTAGAACCTGCCCACTGCAGAAGCCAACTGAAAGTAAAATTGCAATATCTAAAGAAAGTTTCAATCTTACACTTTTATCTGACGTATGAATATTTATATTCCCGTAGACGGTTCCCAGACACATCACTTTGCCTCCTTTTGTTTGGACATGTAATTTTTGACTCTGAAAGATAAAGACAGAAATACATATAGAGAAGAAGTGAGAGTAAGTTTGACTTCTGCTCAGGAAACACTTCCACTGTTTCATTTTGAACAATAATAGAGCAGTACAGGAAGAGTCAGGAGTAAAGCAGAAACTCCTGGGTTAGAGTAATGACATCAACAGGAAAGGGATGACAGCTGCTGCTAAAGAGATTAATATGCCACCTGGCTCAGTGAGAAAGCAAACACACGTGTTTCCGGTAGCTTCAATAATGAAGGGATTGAAAATCAAATATCACTGTGACCAGCTAGTGACACTTCAGGATGATAGTATTAATAATTGTCACTATTCATCATCATTGTTAACATCATCATTAACAACAACACTTAGAAAACTACCAAATCTAAACTAACGGTTAGGATTAAGCTCTGTGGGATTCCAAAGCCCGCGCTCACAAGGCTGGAGGGGTCTGAAGGAGGACAGATGACAGAGTAACAGCCCAGTGTCCAGGTGCAGCACAGCCCAGATGCGGGAACTAAGGGAATATGTCTCCAGGCACAAATACTACAGAAGTCACAGGCCCATCAGCCTCCTCCTGTGACAAAAAGATACATGTGTGCACCGCTTGATTTTACATTTGGCAATTGTGAGCAGACACTGCTGCTGGCCCAGATGGGTAGATGGGCCCATAACAAACACCACATTTTCCAGCTTCCTGTAGCTCTTGGGTTCTTACTGATGGAATGTAAGTGGAACACTAGTGTCATTGCCTGGATGTTGCTTTTAGAAGAACCCATGGGCTTTCCCAATGCCTGCCCCCTTCCAGCACATGGGTGCAGACCACAAGGCTTAAGAGAGGCAGAGCCGAAGATGGAAGGAGCCGGGAGTCACCGCTTGGAAAAGAGCTCCTCACACACCAGAACACAAGTGAAAAATAAACTCATTGTCCATGAGCTACTTTGAAGAGTAGTTTGGGGCTGGTGTTGTGGAGTAGAGGGTAGAGCTGCCGCCTTCGACACTGGCATCCCATATAGACGCTGGTTCGTGTGTCAGCTGCTCTGCTTCTGCTCTAGCTCTCTGCTAATGCACCTGGTAAGCAGCAGAGGCTGGCCCAAGTACTTGGGCATCTGCACCCACGTGGGAGATCCAGATGAGGCTCCTGGCTCCTGGCTTTGTCCTGGCCCAGCCCTGGCTGATATGGCCATTTGGGGAGTGAACCAGCGGATGAAAGATCTCTCTCTCTCTCTCTCCCTTCCTCTCTCTGTGTAACTCTTATAATTAGATAAATCTTAAAAATAGTCATTTACTTTCCATTAACTACTGCATATGCTGTCAGTTTTGCTATATGATAAAGAACACTAGATAAACAGCAGGAGCTGCAGAGGATGAAAAGTAACAAAAGCAAATTCATCACCATCATGACTAACAACTGCAAAGAAATGTCTAAAGATGGAAGATAAAAAATTCAGAACAACCATGTAGCTCCTGGTTGTTTCACTTAGGTGGAAATATAGAAAACCTTAGATAAAGCAGTCATGGAATCTGTTTCAAAAACTTAGTGAAAAAGCAAAATGAATCCTTCTTAAGGTTAACTCCTTCATGTCTATAGAGATACGAGTCTGATGTCAAATTATAGTTAATACTCTTATACTCTTTGTCAGGCAAATAATGAACTTTACGAAAGACTGCTTCCAAAGCAACTGCTGTTTTAAATCAAGAGATCTTAATCAAGCTTATATAAGTTTCTTTTTTTTTTTTAATTACTTGTTTATTTGAAAGGGAGAATTACAGAATGAGAGGGAGTGACGGAGAACTTCCATCTGCTGGTTCACCCCCTCAATGGCCACAACAGCCAGGGCAGGCACAGGCCAAAGCCAGGAGTCAGGACCTCCTTCCGGGTTTCCCATGTGAGTGGAAAAGATCCAACCCCTTGGGCCATCTTTCACTGCTTTCTCAGGCCATTAGCAGGGAGCTGGATTGGAAGTATAACAACCAGGACATTAACCAGCACCCATATAGGATGGCAGCATTGCAGGTCGTGCCTCCACCTGGTACACCACAACGCCAGCACCAAGCTTATATGAATTTCTAAAGACTCTGTGAAACTTATACAACTGTAATATTTACAAGTATATTTTTTTTCTAAATGGACAATCATCAGATTTTCCAAGCAGTTTAAGGTTCAAAAATATTGAGTTACAAGTTATAAATAAATAAATACTTATTTTAAAAAAGCAAACAAACAAAAGAATGACGGAGTTGCCTAGAACAGTGGTTTGCAACTGCAGGTGATTTGATTCCCCCACAGCACATGTGGTGATAGCTGGAGACATATTTCCTTGTCACAACTAAGGCATGCACAACTGGCATCTTGATGGAAGGGGCCAGATATGGTGCTAAAACTACTCAACGCTGCAGAGCACAGCCCCCCCACCCCATGAAAGAATTATCTGGCCTAGAATGTCAGTAGTGCTAGGGCTGAGAACCTGTTTTTTATTTTTATGTGCATAATGGCAAAACAGAAGAAAACTGACAAAGATCTTTCAGAATTGTCAGAGGAATCAAAAGATGAATGCAAAGAGATGGTGGCAACAGCAGATTCTAATTCTGTGAAATTGGAGATCTCAAGGACAGCAGGCTACATGAATTTCCTGAAAACTTGAGTGTCAATGTGGAACAGTATGTTTTTAAGGGCAAAAAAGAACTATAGTATTCTCAGTCAATTGGTCATCCAACATGAAGACTTCATTGTATAATCTTTTATGACAACTACCTGAGCCAACCTGTTTTGCTAAAAGGACATGTAACAGTATTCTCAACTCTTTAGGATGTTGTGACTGAATGTATTTGAAATGGTGGGTATATGTATACTAAATCTATTTTCTATATATAAAGATAATTGAAAATGAATCTTGATGTGAATGGAATGGGAGAGGGAGCAGAAGAGGGGAGGGTTGTGGGTGGGAGGGAAGTTATGGGGGGGAAGCCATTGTAATCCATAAACTGTAATTTGGAAATTTATATTTACTAAATAAAAGTTAAAAAAAAGAAATGGTGATATATGGACAGATACCAAAGGCAGGTAGTCAAAGTGAATGAAAGAAGACAAATGATACAGAAATTATAAAGGCATCAAATTAACCATCCTAGTCAGTGCTTGTAAATCTCCAAATGAAAGTGTTTTGTACTATAAAGAAAAGATTACCGACTTCTCAACAAAATTACACGCTATTGAAGTTCACAAAATTATTATCTTTTGGCTATGCAACTGCAAAATGTACTGGGAGTGATGATAAGCAAGAACCCATCAAAACTGTATCTCAAGTCATTTATACATGAGACAAACTTAATTTTAAGAAAACTGAATATAAAAACATGAAATGTATAATGAGACGATATCATGTGTTGTTTTGTACAAGTAGCTCCCTAAACCTTAAGTAATGAGCTAATTGGTACATTTAAAATGTGAGAAGGTAACTTAGTATTTTAAGCACACTTATAGTGTTAAAATACTTTTCCTTAGTCTTCAATAAACAGAAGAAAATCACTCATGAAAACTAAAATTTCTTTAGTGTGATCTTAAAATACTAAGAATGTGCTATTCATTTCACTGTATACTCTGAAATAAAATCTAAAAGAAATACGAGGTGAAACCCTCATCGTTGCTGCAACCTATACTTTCAAAACAAGTAATTTCAAGGCAAATTTTTTGCAAGGAATTTCTGAGTTGAATAAATGATTACATTCTGAAAAACAGAATAATTTCTTTTGTTTGATAATAACTACAGCATATAGTTCATTTTTTAAAAAATATTGAAACAAAATTAGAAAAATATGTATACCTTAACAGATTGTAAGATGCTACTGCCCTGGTCGGTTTGGATTTCGCAATGATCACACTCAATATTTTGGACTTTTACACAGCCAGACCCAGATGACTTGATATTCAAATCTAGAAGTGAGAAAAGACAAGTTAGGACTGTGCTTACTGAGCCCAGAACATTCAGCACCCTCTAGGAACTCAGCTCCTCAGTATGTCTCTAACGTTACTGAATCCTGGAGACAACACAGTTGTTAGCATGCTCTCTGCAGGCGAGGGGTCCCCACCATGATAGCAGCGTCAAATGCAGTGGCCTGTCTGCCAGCTGTTGGAACTAGAGCAGCTACTTCTGTCAGCCTAGGTCATCTAAAGAGAGAAACTAACACAGATGGGAAGGAGGGGAGACTGCAATCCTTCCAGGTATGCCTGTGGAAGACCATAGAAGCCTCTTCCCCACTAGGAAAACCACACACACGTATGGATTAAGAATTGGTCAACTTAACCAGTCATTATGGTCAATCAGAAAGATTTAAAGATTTGTTTCCAAACTGAACCCAAATTAAAAGCATAGAGGTGGGGCCGGTGCTGTGGGATAGAGGGTAAAGCAGCTGCCTATGGTTCCAGCATCCCATATGGGCACCAGTTCAAGTCCCGGCTACTTCATTTCCCATCCAGCTCTCTGCTGTGGCCTGGGAAAGCAGTAAAAGATGGCCCAGGTCCTTGTTCCCCTGCACCCGTTTGGGAGACCTGCAAGAAGCTCCTGGCTCCTCTCTTCAGATTGGTGCAGCTCTAGTCGTTGCGGCCATCTGGGAAGTGAACCAGCAGATGGAAGACCTCTCTCTTTCTCTCTCTCTAACTCTGACTTTCAAGTAAATAAGTAAATCTTTAAAAAAAAAGTATAGGGGTATTGCAGGAGTAGCCAGGATCATTACATATAATCATGACATAGGTTTTCAAATCCTACCTCTAATCTTTCATACCTAAAAAGCGAGAATAGGCCAGCGCCGCGGCTCACTAGGCTAATCTTCCACCTGCGGCGCTGGCACCCCGGGATTCTAGTCCCAGTCGGGGCGCCAGATTCTGTCCTGGTTGCTCCTCTTCCAGTCCAGCTCTCTGCTGTGGCCCGGGAAGGCAGTGGAGGATGGCCCAAGTGCTTGGGCCCTGCACCTGCATGGGAGACCAGGAGGAAGCACCTGGCTCCTGGCTTCGGATCGGCGCAGTGCGCCGGCCGCAACACGTCAGCTGTAGCAGCCACTTGGGGGATGAACCAATGGAAAAAGGAAGACCTTTCTCTCTCTCTCTCTCTCTCTCTCACTAACTCTGCCTGTCCAAAAAAAAAAAAAAAAAAAAAAAAAAGCAAGAATATTACAATATACCTATATCACAAGGTATTTGACGTAAAGAAAATACCAACAACTTCAAGAAACCTCAAATTACATAGTATTAAAACCACAAAATTGTGGTGTTGGCAGAAAATTTGAAAAAAAAATAAAAAGAGCACTGGTCAAAACTGTGATTGGCTACCAATTTAATCAACTTCCAGTTTGTACTTGGCAGTTTCTATAATGCCTCATTAACAGCAGTATTTGGGTTGAGATTCAGCTATAGCATATGAAAAGACAATTTTGCCCCACATAATCATGGATGCAACTAAAACTATAAAATGCATTACTCAGCTAAGTAGTGTTAAACAACAGACGGTTTGCTCTAAGGGAGCACCAACAGATATGTTGAGATGGAAACAGATTCTAAAGATAGTGTATCCTCCCTAGGCAAGTAGAAAGTTGAGGCTGGACACTGAGAGGCAGTAATGCCACTCTTACCCATTCACTGAAACAGGCAATAGACAAACTGGAAGTATGAAGAAAATAGTTACGTTGATTAGAGGGCCAGTGGAATAGACACAGAGAAACAGTAAATTAGAAGTGGGGTTCTGGCCCTAAAAAGAGGGGGCAATCAAGAATGAGGCTTGGAATTATTCCCATTTTGGAAATATTCCATTTTCATCTATGCTGTCACAAATTTTACTTATCTCCAACTCAGTACTCAGTTACTGTGTACTACTGGTGAATCTTCCTCCCCAGCCCAGACTGCTAAACTTTGAGGGCAGGGAATGGCATTCACCTAAGCTGGTTAAAAGAATAAGCAATCAAACATTGTGGTTGAGCAGCCTCCAGCCAGTTCAAACTGCAGCCCTGCCACTTTCTATCTAAAAGACAGTAGCAATGTTTGCCGACCAATCCCCACTGGGGTCTAAGTTCCATGAAGCCATGGTTTGGTTTTTTTCTACTTGTTCATCCACAATAAATTCTTCTTTAATGGGACTTCCTACATCTCAGTTTCCTTATGTGCAGCGGTGACAGTAACAGCATATGCTTTACATGATTATCTGAGAGATGCTGAATGCTGTTGGGAGGATCATCAGTATCCACCAGGCTCAGGAAGAACGGCAGCTTGGGAGTGCTTCCGGGCCGTGTGTACACAGCGGCTGGGCGCTGGAAACCAAAACATCTGATAGGCCTTATCGCCGTTTCTAAAGTTTCCTGGGCAGACTTCCATTGCTACTCATGAAGAGCTGAAGAGCTCACTTAGGCTAAAAACTAGGGAGACGTTATCAGCAAGCGGGGTGCCTATCTGAAACCAAGTATGTGGTCCAGGCAATACAGGACACATCCACTAGACAGAGTTGTCGGGGACAAACCCCAAGCTGTGAGCAAGGGGAAAGGGGTGCCGCGTGATAGAACCCCAACCTTGAAAAACAACCCAGTCTGCTAGTGACCAAAAACAGGCGCCACAAATGTATTTGATTTCTACTACTCCAAATCATGTTTCCATTCAACGTATAAAATTTTCTAAGTGGGAGCCTAATTCTTAAACACTACTGGGAAACTCAGAGTGGAACAGAAGGGGTGGTTTGCAAGGAACCTCTGCGGATTAGGTTAGGAAGTCAGGTACAGGGAGCCGATGAAAAATGCATGCTGGCCCCTTGGAAGAAGTTCGCCCTGCGCGCCCGGGGCCCCAAAGCCGCTTCCACTTCAATTCACTTGCCGAACTTGAGGGGCACGTTCACTTCCACCGACGCCCCGGGGTCGAGGGTGTCGGCCACGATGGCCAGCTCCTCCAGGGCCTCGTCGTACTTGACCCGCAGCCCGGCCAGGCCCCGCGCGCCGCCCTCCGCGCCGCACACGGCCACCAGCACGCGGTCCCCATCCGGGTAGACCAGGGGGTCCAGGGGCCTCACGGCCAGGTGGCAAGGGAGCCGCGCCCGCAGCCGACCGAACGGGCTCACCAGCAGCGTCCACTCCTTCAGAGGCCGGCGCGGGCTCCCACCTGAGCAGTAAGGCCTGGCCTGGCTCGCCCAAGCCCAGAGCCCACCGCCTCCTGCCCACGCTCGGAGCCCGTACAGCGGCAGGTGGCGCAAGCAGACGGCGGACATGGCGCGTCCCCCTCGCGCTCTCTCAGAACGCCTCAGTCACACTTGTCACGGCCAATCGACTTGGCCGCTGGGCCGCCTCTCGTCCAAGAGAAGACGTCTGAGATGGTTTCGCTGAAGCAGTCGCGCAAACTGGCTCGCTTGGCTGCGCGACTTTGAAACCTCAGCCGCAAAACTGAAGCGGCATGTTGGAATTTCAAAACTCAGTGTCAACTCTGACCGGAACTCCCGGCGTACCCCCGCCCCTTTCGCCAAGGCCGACGGGACAAGTAGTTCTCAAGGAGCCAGACGTCAAAGGGTTCTGGCGAAGAGAAAACTACAAATCCCAGGAGGCAACGCGCAGAGGCGAAAGGACAGGAAGACTCGGCTGGGAGAGGCGCGCCCGTTGCTTCTAGTCCATTGGCCACTGGAAAAGCGAATCATTTGCATAAAAATCCAAATAGCCAATGGAAAAAGCGGAAGAGGCAAGGTTGGGAAGGCTGTGTGGTTACCTTGGATACCGAGGACGCTACTTGTTTGTATAGGTGGAGTTTTGGCGTGAAACTCAGGAGGTCAAAACCCGAAAGGAAAGCTTGGCGCCTAAATAAGGATCAAGACCGAGGGAACGGGTAAGAAACCGCCCTTTAAAGATTAGAACAAAGTAGGAGTCCCCTAGCGGTGGAGAATTACTTGGCAAGAGAATAAAGAGCCAGGCTGGTGCTTTTCTGGAAGGAACTTCCTTGGCTGTGTCTGACCTCCAAGGCTTTAGGAGCCCTTTGAGCCCTTTGTGCGGACGAGAATACATCCCGAAGGATTTGTGAGCAGGTCTAGGGAGAGAACGGATGGGAACTTGGCGCACGGTCTACAAAACTGCAGTGTAGAGTACTTTGTTTTTGTTTGGAGGATAGCAGTGATTCCAAGTTACCAAGAAAAATCTGACACAGCAGAACCCTGGGAGCAGCACGGATCTGGCTGACTGCAAGTGGTCCTCAATCTTAGGGTGAAAATGTGTTTTAAAAAAATGCACATGGTGCAGTCTTGGGCTCTGGGGCTCGGATTGTGTCCCTCCCTGGCTCTACCCCTGGTTTATCTGTGTCTTCCGGGCCCGCTGTTCAGTTTTCAAATTTGAAAATTCTTATATTGTATTATCCTATGGGCAGTAAAAATAATGAAGAAGCAAATAATTTAATTTCCTCCTTTTCTGCCTGGTCTATCTCTTTCTGTGCCCCTACCTCATCCTACAACTTATTCTCCAAATTCTTTGGCCAAGACAACAGCCAACAGTGACGTTTGATAAAATCCAAGTGCTGAAACCGAAGGCTTTAAAAGGTTAATCCCTCGGCCAGCTGCACAGCCTAGAATTCCAGCGAGCTGCATCGATAAACAGTGTACTGAAGTCCTCAAGTTCCATGTCATAGCTTCATTGCTAGCCATTACTGTTTTAAAATCTTCTTGAGTTATCTTTGCTTCTTTTATGTTCTGTTAGTCCTTCTTGGTCAAGGCCACAGCCTACTTCTCCTCTTTTTCCTCCTCCTCCTCTTGGTGAAACCTCGTGATGGGTGCGATCTTTTAGGTTCAGCAAGGGCCCACTGAATGAATACCGATTCAGTCCTTGGCTCTGTGTTTCATGTCATCATAATTGTTCAGACTAATCTTTCAAGCTATCTGTGCTGTATGATTGCTAAGTATATTTAGATTAAATATAAAACCCTTAATAATTCGGCGTATGTGGTAATTTTTCTTTTTCCAAGACAAACTAAATTAATGAAATTGGCAACTGAACCATCATTGTCATCGGGTGTAATCATTATTTTACTATTTTCAAGTATCTAGTGCTAAATAAAAATGGAATGGAAATGGAGAGAATGATTGACATTAAGATTGATGTGAAACACTAAAAAGTGATTAAAACTTAAGGCAAGTCAAATGAGTATCACATCTGTCCACCTGTCCGTAGTGACTAATGAACAGTGTGTCTTCCGTGTGTCTGACATTATAGTTTTCAGAACGTGTTCCTGTGCTTCCTCTCACTGTGTCCTCAGAAGTGCTTCCTGCTGAGCAGGCCCATTGTTATTCTTCTTACATAACAGGTGAGGAAACAGATTTGAAACGTTAAGATTAGGAGATTAGAAGAGTAGACCCCAGGGCTGGCACTGTGGCGGAGCAGGTAAAAAGCTGCCATCTGCAGTGCCGACATCCCATATGGGCACTGGTTCGTATCCTGGCTGCTCTACTTCCTGTCCAGCTCTCTGCTGTGGCCTGGGAAAGCAGTGGAAGATGGCCCAAGTGCTTGGGCCCCTGCACCCATGTGGGAGACGAGGAAGAAGCTCCTGGCTCCTGGCTTTGGATCGGCACAACTCCAGCCATTGTGGCCAAATGGGGAGTGAACCAGCAGATGGAAGACCTCTCTCTCTCTGCCTCTCCTTCTCTCTTTGTGTAACTCTGACTTTCAAATAAATAAATAAATTTGAAAAAAAAAAAGTAGACCATTTTCTGACTCTACCAAAAAGTCTCTCTTTAAAAAAAAAAAAAAAACACAAGATTTTATTCATTTATTTGAGAAGTACAGTTACAGACAGAGAGAGGGAGAGGCAGCCAAAAAGGTCTTCCATCTGCTAGTTCACTCCCCAAATGGCTACAATGGCCAGAGCTGGGCCAGTCCGAAGCCAGGAGCCAAGAGCTTCTTCAGGGTCTCCCACGTGGGTGCAGAGCCCAAGGCTTTGGGCCATCTTCTACTGCTTTCCCAGGCCAAAGCAGAGAGCTGGATCAGAAGTGGAGCAGCCATGTGAGATGCTAGCACTGCAGGTGGAGACTTAGCCTACTACTCCACAGCGCCAGCCCCAAGAAAGTCCTTCTACAAATATTTTTCTGACACCTTTGAAGAAAAAAGTTCACGTCCTAGAGATTCAAATATAACTTTTCTTCCTTATCTATATAAATATCTATAGATATTTTTACCTATTCAGGTAAAAGAGTGATTTCCGTAGTCAAAGGCATATCTTTCTGATGGAAGTGTGAGTTAGTGCAATTTAGCAATAGGCATGAAAAGCCTTGAAAATGTGTGATCCAGAGCCCAGCAACTGCACTTATTGGGATGTAAGTATGAAATCAGGGATCTTCACTGAATTTCATATTATTTATTTATTAAAGATTTATTTATTTATTTGAGAGACAGTTATAGAGAGAGAGGTCTTCCATCTGCTGGTTCACTCCCCAAATGGCCGCAATGACCAGCGCTGGGCTAATCCGAAGCCAGGAGCCAGGGGCTTTTTCTGAGTCTCCCATGTGCGTGCAGGAACCCAAGCATTTGGGCCATCTTCTACTGTTTTCCCAGGCCATAGCAGAGAGCTGGATCCGGAGTAGAGCAGCCAGGACTCAAACCAGCCCCGATATGCGATGCCAGCAATGCACCAGCCCCTATAGGACTATTTTAATAGTCAATAAGCATCAACTGAAGTGCTCTCAAATAAGATGGTAGCACATAAATTAGCATACATCTGGATTAGTATGAAACAATTTAAGAATTGTACTTTGGAGACCGGCGCTGTGCTGCAGCGGGTTAAAGCCCCGGCCTGAAGCGCTGGCATCCCCTATGGATGCTGTTTCTAGTCCCGGCTGCTCCTCTTCTGATCCAGCTCTGCTATGGCCTGGGATAGCAATAGAAGACGGCCCAAGTCCTTGGGCCCCTGATCTGCATGGGAGACCCAGAGGAAGCTCCTGGCTCCTAGCTTCGGATCGGCGTAGCTCCGGCTGTTGTGGCCAAATAGGGAGTGAACCAGTGGATGGAAGACCTCTCTCTCTGCCTCTCCTTCTCTCTCTTATAACTCTGACTTTCAAATAAATAAATAAATCTTAAAAACAAAACAAAACAAAAAAAACACCTGGGTCAGCCTGACAGGCACCAAGACAATCACGCTGGAGTGGTAAAAAAGAGTGGGTATTTGTTGTAAGGCACAGAGAAAGGACCCTGGGAGCTAGCATTTAACTCTTGGGCTCCCAGAGGGGCTGGGGGTAAAAGTTCTTACAGACTGAAGCTGGGATTGGGAGGTGCATGTTCAGCTCACGTCCAGGGCCGTGGTTGGTCCACAGTGCTTGGCCCTCCTTTGATTGGCCAAGGACATTGTGTTCTTTTGGCACTTTTGATAATGGCAAAGTGGGCTCCTGTCAATCAGGTTGGGGCTTAGAGACTGGGGCTCCTTCTGGAAAAACCCCCAAAGACGAGGCCTAACAACAGGCTGTTCTGTGCAGGAGCAATAAGTCTGGTGAGCAGGGACCCTGTAGGGCTGACGGCACAGCTTCCTCAATTCAGTAAATTAAACTTAGTGAGAGGGTGATTTAGGAAAGAAACTGAGCTAAGGGAGGGAGATGGAGAAGCCAAGGGTTATTAGGGCTTGATAGTGTCTAGCATCTGCATCAAAGGCCCTGTGTCTAGCATCTGCATCAAAGGCCCTGTAGAAGGACTCAATTTCAAACATAAATCATAATAAGAAAAAAAGTTGGTAAGTCTTTCCTAGCATACGTTGTTTCATGAGACTGACTCAAATAATGAACCGGGTGGAAGATTCCAGTATTTTATTTAATGATTTGTGTAATAATGTTCATGGACAGCAGAGGGCGTGAGAGAGTTTTCAGAAGAAAATGGAACTGAAACAAAGGCGTCGTTAATTCACCTTAAGTGAGGAAAGCTGTAGAATTTGTTAACTTCGTAAAGAGAAACGCGTCTTATGACACCTATTCGTATGATCTATTAATAAAGGCAGTAACCTAAACTAGTAACTAACTATGGAGTATTTAGTGAATACGTAGGTAGTCCCATTTGAAGTCTGTATGTCAATCTTCAGAGACCATTTAACTTCCCTCTTCCTGGTCTGTATGGCTTGTATTTCCGCTTTAGTGTTGCACTGGCCCATCCCCTGCACTGCAGTACTTAGTGGAGCGGTGTCTTAGTCACCATTCTATGGGGGAAAGCACTTGGTATTTTACTTTAAAGTTAGTTGCTAATTTTTCACAGGTGCCTTTTATTACTAGGATCATTTCTAGTTGCGGCTTTTTATCATGACTAAATGTTGCATTTTGTCCATTGCTTTTTTTCTGTTATCTATTGAGATGATCGTAGAACTTTTCTTCTTTAATTTATTAGCATGGTGTATTACAATGATTGATTTTCAAATGTTAAACCACATTTCATTGCCTTACATTATAATGTATATTATATATATCCCTTATATTAACTTTTCTATTTATTGCTAGATTCAATTTGCTAATATTTGGTGAAGAT